AATCTTCTATCTTACGTTACAAGTACCGCTGCATCAGTTCAGATTCAGATGGACTGGAACGATAAGAAAATCCCTTGAGTGTTCCTTCTTGAGCAAATCGTTGAGCCAGGAAATGATAAGGTGCTAGTTCTTGATAGATCTAAAACGAAACACTCGAAATACTCCCTGCTCAACCAATTACTGCCCACGTTCCCTGCACTAGCAGTCTCCGCTGTGTAAGTTACGTGAAGTAAGAAAGAAGTAGAAAGTAAATGGAAGATAAAGGGTATATTTATATATATTTGCAAAAGTCTACGAATAAACATAATGCCATCAGAAACCATGGGATTCAAACGAAGGTACAGAAATAGTAAAATAAAACACAACACAACAATGTCCATGGTTTCGTCAGAGGGCGAGATACTACCCGGTTGCCCAAGCCGAAGTAGGGTGTTGACTTAGGGGACACCACCTTTGGCTGAATAGCCTGTCCGCAAGGCAGCGGAGCAAATTCAGGGAATCGCGCCCATTGGGAGCCGGTGACTGATTGCTCAGTTCATACGCCTTTCGTTTGTTCCTTTGTCAAACAGGGGCCCAATGCTCCCCAGAAGTACAGCATCAACTTGCTAGAATACAATGCTTCGCCAGGATGAAGCAAGGGGCGGTGACTTTATTTAGTGGCGAGTCACGTCCGCCACGTCGCAGTGTTGTTAAACGGACATATGTGGCGTTTTATAGGGAGAACGCTTGCCAGGCGAAAACCCACCACGTCCTGGAACACTGCCGCCGAACCATTTGCTGAAACGGGAAAATCCCGAACCACCCAGCTGGCACCACGAGGAGGTTGTTCGGCAAGCCAGCCGGAAGATAAAGGGGAATTAAAGTCATTAAAATGAAGGATAACACCAAAGAGTGCAGATAATGACAGAATAAGACCTAAAAGTTTGAAGATGGATATGGTCAGGAGAAGGGAAAGGTTTCGTGTTGCCACCCAAGAGCGTCTAACTGACGCTCGAAACACTTAACCGTAGGTTCACTGACTACATTTTCTGGAAGCGAGTTCCAGCGCTCGATAACTCTATGCGATAACCGAGTATTCGCCCTGATCCGGTCAGAATGCGGCTTGTGTAGCTTTATGGGATGACCGCGAAGACAAGGCAACCTAGCCGGGCTAAACAGCCAGCGCAAGTCCGGCCCAACCTTCCCTGTTAAAATGCGGTAAGTAAGGAGTAGGTCTCCTCGAAGCCGTCGGTAGTGCATTGAATACATACCCAAGCTAAGTAGACGCTCGGGGTACGATTGCCCCCTTAACCCCTCGACCAATTTGGTACCTACTATCAAAACCCTCTCAAGCTCCATTTTGTCTCGAACAAGGCAGGGCAGGCAAGCCTGGACGCAGTATTCCAGATGGGGCCGGACGAAAGCTGAGAACAGCTTCACAAATATGTCGGCAGTTAAGACCCCGAAAGAACGGCGTATTAACCACAACATTCTGAAACCCTACTTGCGGCCTTCTTCCAGTTGTCACCAGAGTGCAAAGACAAGGAGTAGACGACGCCTAGGTCTACCTGGTTGGAGACAAGGGGGAGATCGACCCCACCGAGTATGTAGCTCGAAGGCGGGAAAGTTGCTCCTATACGAAGGACGGAACACTTAGCCTGATTTATGGGCAGTAGCCACAAAGCAAACTAGTTCCAGAGTCTGTCCAGTGCATGCTATATGGCCTCAGAAACCCCAGGAACATTTACAACATTCCACAGCTTAAGGTCATCAGCAAACAATACGGATGATACATCAAGCTCTCCAGGGAGATCGTTTACGTAGATGGAGAACAGCATCGGTCCAAGGACCGAGCCCTGTGGGACAACGCTAAGGACCGCTTGCTTAAAGGATAAGCTGCGACCCACACGTACACACTGCTCTCTTCCCTGCAAAAACGTAGATACCCAGTGAAGGGCGCGGCCAAATACGCCGTAGGACCTCAGCGTATGTGATAGCCTCAAGTGGGGTACCTTATCAAATGCTTTCGAGAAGTCTACGAAAAGCACATCCACCATGTGGCCATGGTCCACTGCCTCGGCCCAAGCTTCACGAGCAACCAACAAATTCGTCAAACACGAAAACCCCTTCCGGAATCCATGTTGTGCACTACTGAGTAGATTAAACCTATTCAGGTGACATTCCAACGAATCTCTCACCAGCTTTTCATGCAGTTTGACCACGACGCTAGTCAGACTAACTGGCCTATAATTGGCTGACAGACTCCTGTCGCCATTTTTGAAGATAGGACAGATGACAGCCTCCTTCCATTCGGAAGGTAATGTACAGCTGTCAAGTGACTTCTGAAACACCATCGTCAACGGTCCACTTAGTTCCCCCGCCAACTCATGCAGAAGCTTCGGGTGAATTGAATCAGGTCCAGCTGCTTTGGAAGCGTTCAGTTCTTGCAGCAGTTTAAGGACTTGCGTTTCCACCACAGTAAACTCAGCTAAATAAGAACCATCAGGTACTCTGGGGACAAGTTCAACGCTAGTCAACGCGGCCTCACGTACAAAAGCCCCTGCGTACTGTTCCCCAAGTACACGAACCTTATCTGAGTCCGCATACGCACGAGTTCCATCGGCCCTCATCAAAGTTGGGATTACCGAAGTTGAACCACAGCGTCTCTTAACATAAGCGAAGAACTTCTTCGGATTTTCCGAAGCTCCATCAGCCAATTCCTTTTCGTACACCAGCCGAGCTTTCCTTAAGTGTTGTTTACACCTATTTCTAGCTTCGCGGTATCTATCATAGGTGCTAGTTGATGGAGCCGCCAGCACCTAGAACGCTTCTGGAGCAGGTACTTGCCAGTGGTATCTATCCACGGCGGCCGCGCCCGTGTCTCCTTTCTCCTCGCAAGCGGGATGTAGGGAGTAGACACTTCCATGAGATGAGATTTAAATTTATCCCAGGCCGCCTGAACCGTATCAACCACCGAGATTTCGCAACGCATCCCAGCAGCCTTAGTACGCATTGCCTGATAGTTAGCACCCCATATGTTTAGAAATGGCTTAGCAATGCTCTGGTGACATCTGGTCAGAGTACACCTGAACGATAAACAAACATGATCACTAGCACCTAAGGGAGAGCTGTAAGTGATGTCCCCTACGAAGTCTAGTGACTTGGCAAACACTAGATCCAAACTAGACGGGAGTTAGGCGTCCATGTACCTAGTGGGGAGGTCCACGAACTGATGCAACGGTACTTGTAGCGTAAGCTCAAGTAGATCTGCCCCGAAAGTACCTTCTTCCGAGTTGCAAGAAAGATCCGCCCAGCAAACATCTAGTAGGTTGAAATCCCCCAGTATCAAACACCTGTTTGCGGATTGGGAGCGAATAAAGTCAAGCACCTCTTTGGACGCACTTCCAGGGCTTCTATACACAAGTACGACTGTAAGTTGAGCTGAGGAAGTGTTAATCACTACCGACAGCGCTTCGACAGTTTTATCTGCCGTCTGAAACATGTAGGTGCGTGAAACGTCAAGTTCACACCTAACGTAAAGCGCAACGCCCCGCCTTGTCGGCCAACGAAGCGATCACATCGAAATAGTGCGTAGCCAGATAGATGTACTTCACCGTCCGTGATGTCCCGAGACAGCCACGTTTCAGTGAATGCAAGTATATCGGGATGAGACCCATCTACAAGCAGACCTATCTCGCACATCTTATTCCTTAGGCTCCGCACATTGCTTAGCACTATTTGAAGGTACTCGTAATGTCCAGCCCTGGGTCGTGCGCTACCAGTACTGGCACTGGTAGGGCGGAAACAGACTGCCTGCTGACCACCCGAAAACCCACCAACCGGAGACCTTGTTCACCGGCCGCTCGCCTGGTTTTGAGGCTACGTTGTTGAGCTGTACCCACGAACGCCGCGGATTTTTGAGTGTTGCTTCTGGATTCTACTTCCGCTTCTGGATTACTGTGTTATTTGTGTTTCATCTGTGTAAATTGTGTACCAAAAAGTTTCTTTTTGGTGTAATCTTCAAGTCGTGAAAATTTGGTGAGCCTTCTCTCACTTTTTTCGGAGAGCCCGTTGAAAAATCAAATTACCGTCTGTGTCCGCCATCTTGCATTTGCTCCAACGTGTGATGCCGTGCCAATCTACTTGTGGCTCATGTTCGAAAGTTGTCGGACAAAAGGCTCATGCACTTCGCTGTTTCGGCTGTGATGTTCTGTTTCATATTTCGTGTATCGGCCTATCCGTGGAAGTTTTCCGAAAATCTGTTGACATCCGACATAGATTTTTCCAAGTTGTGTGTGATAAATGCCGCGGTTTACTACAACAAAATGCACGGAGACCACGACCGGCTCCGGGAAAAGCCATCTCCCAGACGAAACCACCTCATTCAGCTCGTGGGGTCAAACGCGCTCGTCAGAGTACCTCTGTGAACTCCCCTTCCCCTACAACTCCACGATCTGCACCACCGCCAGCATCTTCTACCCCAACCGATTCTCACAACCAATGTTCCCCACAGATTGACGACTCAGAGTCGGAGCCCCCTAATCTTTCAGCGCATACCTGTGAACATCTGAACACTGAAGATAAATGGATCCTTCAAAAACGCAAAAGTTCACGCAACAACTTTCAGCCTCCCCCTTCAGATAGACGACCGTCCAAAACGACAAGCCCCTCCACTCCTGCTGCCTCAAGTTCGTCACCGACCTCACTGAGGCGTTATAATCTCATGGTGTTCCATGCACCAGAGTCGAAAGATGAAAACCCTCAGAAACGTTATGATCATGATGTTGAGTTCCTTCAGGGGCTCGTTGATAAACTGTTGGATGTGGGTGAAGGCAGCGTAACGATTAAACAAGTAGTCCGACTTGGTCAGCATACTAACCAATCATGTCGACCATTACGAATCACCTTTGCTGACCACAACACGCCACAACTCATTCTGTCTCGTCTCTCCAGGCTTAAAGGCACCAGGGTTCACATCCGCCGAGACTTGGAACCCGAAGAGAGAAACCGCTTGAAGACTGCGGTCCTTGAGCTTAAACGCCGTACAGAAGAAGGCGAAACTGATCTACACATCGTAAATTTTCGAGTAATCAAGAAGGGTGCACGAACCCGTATAAGTCGGTTGATCAACCTCCAGGCACGTCCCGCGGTGCCTCTCAGGACCTCCGTGCTGCATTCACAAACATCTGTAGCCTTATGAACAAACGGGATGAGCTGTGTCGCTTCTTTGCCTCTGAGCGACCAGACGTCGTAGGACTGGCGGAGACATGGCTAACTTCTGAGGTAATGGCAGAGGAAGTCGATCTCAGTGGTTACACATGCTTTCGCTGCGATAGAATATCAAATCCTCGTGGTGGTGTCTTACTTTATATACGGTCTTCCCTGCGTGGGAGGCTAGTAAGCATGTACCGAAGTGGAGATGGACTGTGTGAACAGGTATGGTGCTCGATCAACCTCAGGCGCGGCAAGCTGACAGTAGGTGCATTCTACCGTAGCCCTCTGAACCGCTCTTTAGATTGGCTACCGCATCTTCGGAACAACATGAGTCGTCCATGTTTTCTACTCATGGGTGACTTCAATTGTCCCCACATTCAATGGCCTGAACTCCAACTCATGCCCGGGTGTTCTGAAGTCGAATCAAAGTTTGTTGATTTGTTGCTTGAAACTGGGGCATCGCAACACATATGCCAACCTACGCGCATGACGTCGCGTTCGAACCCATCGTGCCTTGATTTGATGGTGACGAATTGCGAACAGCGGTTGCATGACATACGAATCCAGGAGCCCCTAGCTAAAAGCGACCATTCCGTGCTGATAGCCACTATGGAACTGAACTTGCCGAGTGTATCTCCGGTAGAACCAGCTTACAACTACTGGAAAACTGATTTCGATGGATTAAATCGAGCAGCGATCCAAATGGATTGGTCTCTACCACATGTTACATCCGTGGAGGACGGTTGGACAGTAATAAAGGAAGGATTGGTTTCGCTTTGTTCTCAGTTTGTGCCGTTGAAATTTCAGAAAGTCGGACCAATGAAACCACACTGGTTCGACAAGGAATATGGTAGGCTGGCTCGGTTACGGCGAAGAATGTGGGACGCATTTCGCCTCTCTGGCTCCGCCACTGATTACGAAGCATATAAAAGACAGCGAAATATTTGCAACAAAATGAAATTGATAAAGCGCCGGACTTTCGAAGAAAAGCTTGCAACTGACGCGAGGATGGCCCCAAAGAAGATCTTTGCTTACGTGAAACGCCGTTTGAAGCCAAAAGGTGACGTGTCATGTCTGGAAGACGCGGACGGACACCTGCTAACTTCCAGTTCCGATCGCGCGTCCGCACTGGCCGCTCACTTCGCTTCCGTGTTTGCAAACGACGCGGCGTCCATACCCATCTCAGCGAGTAACATTCCTGTAGAACTCAACAGTTTGGTTTGTGATGTCGACGAGGTGCGCCTGCTACTTGCGAACCTTGACGGTACTAAGCCTGCAGGGCCTGATGGGCTTCATCCGCTAATTATCAAATCACTAGCTGCCATTATCTCGCCTGCTGTTACGGATCTATTCAACAAATCATTGTCTGAAGGCTCATTGCCAAACGACTGGAAGCGCTCGGTGGTGAGGCCGATCCCGAAAGGTGGCGACCCCAGTAAGGTGGATAACTACAGGCCAATTTGTCTTACACCCGTTTTGGCCAAAGTGATCGAGAAGCTAGTAAAAAAGCGTCTAATACATCTGTTGCAATCGAAAGAACTTCTGACACCGGCACAACACGGATTCAGGATGGGATATTCTTGTGTTACCAACTTACTTGTGACGAGACAGGAATGGTTGCAAGCACTGAACCGGGGAAAATCCGTCGACGTAATCTATATCGACTTCAGCAAAGCATTCGACAAAGTTAATCATGAAGTGCTTCTAGACAGATTAAGGTTATGTGGTGTCGGAGGATCGTTACATCAATGGATCCATGAATTTCTCGTTGGAAGAAAGTGGAGGGTACAGGTGGACGGCCATCTAACCGATTGGTATCCCTCGACCAGTGGTGTACCTCAAGGTACGGTACTGGGACCCACTCTGTTTCTCATCCACATCAACGAGCTGCCCCAGCTTCTACGGTCGCCGTGTGCAATGTTTGCGGATGACCTCAAAATTTGGCGAGAAATTAGTACTCCCGATGACTGTGACATTCTCCAACAAGACCTCGACCGCCTCGCAGTATGGTCTGCTGAAGTCCACCTACCGGTCAACCCGGCAAAGTCCCTATTCATGAATCTCGGGAAGGCTGTTCACGGCCGAACGTACACCCTAGACGGCCAACCACTACATCCCACACCTTCCGTGAAAGACCTAGGTGTACTCTCACGCTGCGACTTGAAGTCCGTCGACAACACCAACAAATTGTATCGAAACGGACTGCGCATGCTTTGGGCGCTGAAGCGCAGCTTCTGCACTTGGTCTGAAGACGTCGCCACTCGCCTCTTCTCTTCCATCGTCAGACCAATGCTAGAGTACGGCTCGCCTGCATACTGTCCGATCACTCGCGGCGAAGCGCAAAAGATCGAACGAGTACAACACGTCGCCACCAAGCTGATCCCCGGCTTGAGAGGCTTATCGTATGAAAACCGGTGCATGAACCTTGGGCTCTACACCTTGTCGTATCGCCGTGTTCGAGTGGATCTTATCATGACCTACCGTATTTTACATCTCGGTCATTTCCCCATGCTGAGGTCGTTACTCCACTTGCGAGTACCATGCACCACACGTGGGCACAGGTACAAACTCGTGGTACCTGATCTGAAGAAAATCCCACACCCCCTGTGTTTCGAGCGGAGGGTTGTGCACGCCTGGAACAGTCTGCCAGAACACGTCGTCGAGGCCGAATCTGTGCAGAAATTCAAATCTTTGTTGGATTTGCACTTCGCTAACATACGTTTCAGAGAACGGTTGCCACTTGACAACGATATCACCCACTTGTGACTCACTGTGTGAACAAGCATTTTGTGTGCTACATAGGGAGTTGCTGAACTATCTCAGGATAACCACCGGACGTGTTTATTTATTTTTTTAAATGTTTTTGATTATCACCCGATGGAGTTGTACAGAATTATTTTCTACTTGCTCCAAAATACAGTATTCAGTATTCAGTTAATGGCCTCTTAGCTTCAGCCTATCCGCTAATGGGAGGTCTGGCTGAACGCTAACATTAGTACCCCTCAATTTGAAGGCAAACCTCAACAGCGCGTTGCTTTCTTCCGGGGTGGATAGGACTACCCGAAGTAAGCGCGGTCAAGCGTTTAGGGCGTTAATTGGGACGTTACCCAATCTAGTCAGTTTCCTGACAGTAACACCGGGAAACCCAGTCGGAAGAAGTTTGGTTACGCACATCTTAAACCACTGTAGGTCGTCTAATGTACGTTCGGCAGGAAGTGCAGCAGTGGATTCCACTGCGTTACGGAATATCACGCTGCTATCCATGAAAGCATCACCTCGACGGGGTGTATTTACCCCACGGGTTTTGGAATTTACATGAACCGCAACCGTGGACATGGACGCCCAATTACCACCTACTTTAAACCTTGGGTTTGCTAAGTCACTTGACTATGCTTGCGATATTACTTACGGACACCCACCGGGTGCTAGTGATCGTTTGTTTGCCTTTCGGTTGTACTCTGTCTAGTCCTTACCAGAGTGCTGCTGTGTTACGCCTAAATATGTGACATGCTAACTATCAAACAATAGACTACGCTTCAAGTTTGTTATGATATCTCAGAGGATGATACTGTCCTGGTTGTCTGAGTCCCAGTGTTCTTGCCTAGCTGCATTTATTGAAGCGACATAAGTCCGTAGGTTACTACAAGGGCTGAACTCTTCTGACGCATTTGGGTCTGTGTTTATTCACCCGAAGCTGTTACATGAGTTGGCTGCGGAACTAAGTGGACCGCTTGTTATCGTGTTTCCGAAATCGCTTGACAGCTGTGTATTACCTTCCGAATGCAATGAAGCCGTCATTTGTCCCGCCTTCAAAAGTGGCAACAGGAGTCCGCCTCTACTTACTGGCCAGTTAGTCAGACGAATGTAGTAGTCACACTGCTTGAGCAACTGGTGTGAAATTCATTAGGGAATCATCTGAATAGATTAAATATACTTAGTGATGCACAGCACGGTTTCCGGAGTGAATTTTTATGTGATGAGTGTATTTTTAGCTCATGAGAGTTGGGGTTATCCAGTGAACAACGGTCACACACTGGACGTGCTTTTCATCGACTTTCCGAAGGCATTTGAAACGGTACCCCCTTCGAGGCTTGCGCAAGAGCTAAGTTTTTATGGCATATCTCATCACGTTGTTCACTTGTCACAGCCTGTCATTTAGGCAAACTGTTCTCAGTGGCATACTGCAAGGCTCGGTCCTTAGACCGCTGATGTTCTCTATCTATCTGAACGATCTACGCGCGGTACTTAAGGTATCCTCGGTACTGTTTGCTAATGACCTGAAGCTGGAATGTTCTTGGGGGCCCTGAGGCTACTCATTATACCTTGGACAAGATTTGGGACTGGTCTATTTCATGGTCACTGCCGATAAATCAGGCAGTCTTCCGTTCTTCGAATTGAAGGAGGTTGTCTTTACTCGATGTGCTTCGTTGGTGAGGTCAAACCCCCTTGTATCCATCCATGTTGGTCTAGGCATCTTACGCTATTCTACTTTACGTTATGGTGACGACTGGAAAAAGGCCGCAAGTAAAGGATTTCATATCTTATAGTTAATACCCCGTTCTCCCGCAATCTTGACGGACGACATCTCTGTGAGACTATACTCAGCTTTCGTTCGGTCTCATCTGGACTACTGAGTTCAGGCTTGTCCGCCCTGCCTCGTCCGGTTACAAAATGGAGCTAGAGTTGGGTTTTACGGGTGGGCACTAGGTTGGTTGCGAGACAGACATGTCCCGAGCGTCTACTTGGTTTGGGAATGTTTTCAATGCATTACTGCGTGCTTAGAGGAGACCAAAGCTTAAACTACCATATCTTAATTGGGAACTTAGCCCAGATTTGTCTAGGCTATTTAGTCCCGCTAGATTGTTTGTACTCCGCGGGCATTCCACGGGGCTGAACAAATCGCTGGCCGCTTATATTAGGGCGAAATTCCAACGGTCACGCTGTCATCGAGCTCTGGAACATGCTTCTGAAAACTGTTCTCAGGGCATCTACGATTGTTTGACCGTCAACTTGACGCTTTTGGACAGCAACACGAAACCTTTCCTTTTTCTTGACTAACTCCCACCTTCATACTTCCATTTTCTTTTCCTTACTTCATGCATTGCTTTTGTCCCTTATTTCAAGTAAACTTACTTGTTCTGTATCTTCGATTTCTTTTCTTATCCCTTGCTTACTCCACCTGACTGTCACAGCAGGGACTACTAGTGCGGGGAACGTTGGCATCTATTAGTTGATCAGGGTGTGGTTCAGGTGAGTCTAATGTAGCTTCGGAAAATCTAACTGTTCAAATTCAGTCACGGATTCATCTGATGGTATGCAGTGTAACGTTTGCTGCCTCTGGGATCATGGAAATTGTACCGGCCTTCTACCTAACCAGGACTAGATGTTAGCATCCAGTGAGAATTTGCCTTTCAGCTGTGCCGAATACTGCGCTCGGAGATCGAAGCGCCCGGCTTCCACCAGTACATAAAAGTTGATGGATGTGAAGGCGTTAGCCGAGCTTGCCTCTCTTGCATCGCTCAACGCCAAAGTCAATTTGATTCTGAAATTCCCGGATGTTGCAAGTGCGGACGCTGCGGCAGACTGCACCACTGCTGTCAGTCCATCCGCTGGTGTCTGTTGCTCGGTCGAGGATTAGCCCATCCTACCGGACGCCCCAGTCAACTTGGTAACTGACTCAAATACCTCTGATAGCACTGTTGACTCCGCTCAAATTGTAAACGAGTCACGGACCACTGGGTCTAAAATGTATTAGCCTAAGAGCACGGAAAGTCCGTAAACCCTCCTACCCAAAACCGTGAGGTAAGCAAACGCTCAAGATGCAACAAGCTGGGCTGAATGCACCACCGGTTGCTGCACTTCCTTTAGTGAGGCGTGAGGTGCCCTCACCTTCGGTCCCACCGATTGCAACTAGAAAGCCATGCGGCGTGGATGGCAGAGCATGTGGAGTGAATACACATAGTCTTCCAGATAGCACTGTGATTTTCGGAAAAGTCGCTAAATCCACTGTCGCTCTTTTCACCGAGCGCATACTTGATGACCTTTGTTGTTTTCAAGTTTGTGTTTAAGCTTTTCCTACTAGGGTTCCCTGACATTAATGTCTGGGAGCTCATCATCCTGACGAAGATTTTAGATAGTAAACCAAATCCTCTACCCCGTTTTCTTAGAGTGGTTTTCTCCATTCCAGAGGAGTGCAGAGCGTTACTGCGATTGGTCTTCCACCTCAAAGGTGTGTGTAACCGGACTTTCCGTTAGCGGATAGGCTAAAGTTAGAGAAAGCCATCAACGACCTAAAAGCCCGGCATGCAGTTGGCGAGCTGAGACTCCGATTGCTGGGCTTTTAGGTGGTCAGCCGACGATCCATTTCCGCCTTGCCAGAACTTATTCTAGTTGCGCACAATCCAGGGCTGCTCGTGACAGTTATTAAAGTAATACTTTCAACCTGTTTGAAACTCTACTTAGCTTTCGTGCGACCTTATCTAGATTATATCATCCAAGCCTGTCCGCCATGCTTTGTCCGGGACAATATGGCACTAGAAAGTGTTGCATGTCGTTACTAAGTTGGTCGAGGGGTTACGAGGACTGACACCCCGAGTGCCTACTTGGTTTTGGAATGCGTTCGATGCATTATCGAAGGATTAGAGGATACCGGGTCCTAACCTACCGTGTTTTAACTACGAAGGTTGACCTGAATGTGTCTTTGTTATTTAGTCCTGCTAGATTGTCTGCTCTCCACGGGCATTACATGAAGCTGGGCAAACCCTTTTCCGACCGTATTATAGTGGGAACTCGGCTATCGTACCGAGTCATCGGGCGCTAGAACTTGCTTCCAAAAAGTATTGTCAGAGAATCTACGGTTAATGGGTTTAATCGTCAACTAGACGCTCTTGAATTGCAACACGAAACCTTTCCCTTCTTTCGACTAACCCATCTTCATACTTCGATTCTATTTTTATACTCTCCCTTTTCTTTCAGGAGACTTTCTTCACTCCGCCTTCAATTTCTCTTTCTTTCTCTTATTCTCTTCACGTGACTATCATAGCATAGCCTGCTAGTGTAGTGAACGTGGGCATTAATTGTTTTACCAGGATGTGATTCGGGTGTTCGGTTTCAGATCCAACAAGAAGTCGGAGCATCTTATCTACTCCTGGCCCAACAATCCGCTCAAGAAGGAACACTTTCGAGATTCTCCTATCTTTCCATTCCCACCTGAACTTGCACTTGAGGCTGCTTGTATTGAGGCCGGTAGTTAAAACCATTGAGCGTGAGCTGGAAATGTTTCCCATCCACTGCGCTGATCGGACTGAGCTTAAAGTCCATGTTTAATTACCTCACCTTTATAGATTTTGAATTGGGTCTTCCATCTGTACCGGTCTACAAGAATGAGGTTACTGAGTTTGGCGTCAACACGGTGCATTTTTTGTCACCGTATTTCTTCTGCTGGTATAAAACCCTGCTTGAAAAAATGTCAACAGTCAACAAGTATGCCTATCCGATTGGCTCACAAGCTAAGACGGTTTGTAGACGACCCGATGCACCGAGATGAAGTACTAGTGTACTGTAGGTTAAAAAGAACGCCGCCACTATGACCCTTATCCAGCTGTCGCTTAACGCCTGTAGTTCGTTGCCTGTTTATGTGTCGCAACTTTCTGGCTTCGACAGCGGCCAAATTCGGGCTCGCCATCAACAGAAGCAAAACTATCGGTCTCTTTCAGCCTTCACCGGAGGTGCAATCTACAATATTGCCGCGAATCAGCATTGGTACTGAAGTATTGAAACCACTTCCCGCTTCTGCTACCTTGGGAGTATGATGTCGACTGACCAGCAGCTTCACATTGAGCTTCGTATCCGCGTATCGACGACAGCGGCGGCATTCGAGAAGCTAGAGTACTAAGTGTGGAACAACCATCAGCTTACCGTTGGCACGAAGCTGATGGTGTACAAATTCATGGTGCTGTCCGTTCTTCTATGCGGCAGTAAAACGTGGACGATGTACCGGCGGGATGTGAGATGTCTCGAGCGATTCCATCTACAGCCTTCCCGACGGATTCGGCGCATCGGTTGGTGCGCCAGAGTTGCGGACTCGGGAATGTTGCGCTGAAGTGGAATGTATGCAGCGGACTGCATACTTTTGCTGAGACGCTTGAGGTGGCTCGGTCATGTGAGTCGTATGGATTCGACGCGGATACCGAAACAACTATTATATGGTCAACTGAGTATTGGTAGGCGGCACACGGAGAAACCGAAGCTTCGTTACCAGCACATGATCAAAGTGAGCCTCTCACCTTCTAATCTTGATTGCAGGTCATTGGAATCGAAAGAGGTTGATCGGTGTGTATGGGGCGATCTGATCATGAAGGCAGTTGACAACGTGCAGGAGAAAGCCCTCATGCATGCAGAAAAGAAGCGGAAAGTGCGGAAGCGGTAAGCGCCCATGGATTTGTGTTCCATTGACATGGTGCTGTATCACATGCGGTCGCAAGTGCCTGAGTCAGGCACGCCTAGTGAGCCATGAGCGAGGCCACTGGGCCACTACCGAAGCGACGACGGGTTCTGTCGAGAATGTAGGCAGTAACGGCACAGCGTTTGTAGGTATGGTGCATTCGATTTACTAACCGCTTGCTTGCATGCTGAATCTTTTTATTTCATGTGGTGAGTTTGCTATCTTGTCTCATTATTGCCTACGTGAACCACCTTCTATTAATTTGTACGCGTCGCTCAAGTTATTAGTAGTTAATTTTGATAACTTTCGCGTTTACCTTAGAATATATTTACTGACGTCTTGAAACTATAACATATTTTGGTAACCAATTTATATCATATGCTCATTTATTGAAGCGTTATGTCGCCGTATCGGTATGCATTGTATTTATTTTATTTGGTATTGTTGTCCAAGTGATTGACTGTTGCTTGATATACCGGGTGTGGCTGCGCTTGATGTGTATGTTGACAAGGTGCCTACCTGTCTATTACCCACTATCTCGTTCATACTGGCTCCAGGAGGCAGTTGCTCGTTGCTGGAGGGGATGGAGTGCATAGTGCTTGTGGCTGTGTTAGGCTCGAAAGGTGGTTCCATGCACTCATTGTGGAGCGGACTACGGTCCAGCCACTATCTTGTGTTCCCTTGATTCCCAAATACAGCTTGCTTGTGTTTGCCTGTGAAGGAGTGTGACCCGGCTCCATTGATGCAACGTGGCTGTCATCCACATGCCTCCCGGTCTTATTCCTTCGGGTTTACACTGGATTTGGGGTGTGTGGATTGAGCTGTGGGTGGTGCAGCGCAAGCCATCCATGGTCCGTCTGTAGGCGCAGGCGTCCTGTGGCTGTTCACAGTGACAGGCAAATCCGAAACCGGATGCCGCCAACCATGTGTTGCAACTTTGCCGCTCACCATACGTCTCTTCTATATGTACGTTTTACATTTTAGCTTCGCAACAATTCATTATTATTGTACAACAATCGCATCTGCTGAGGAAGTTACACGTTTGACATCGAGTTGCATACGCACTCCTCATTCCTTTTATTTCTACGACCATCTATCATTTCCCTTTGTTGACTTTCCATTCTGCTCCCTTCTGGACTGCTGCAGCCGTCTGGCATGGACGAGGTCAGTTTTTATTCTCCCTTATCCTCTCTTTTGTAGTATGATTTGAAAAAGCCTCAGACTCATGTTGGAATACTGTTCTGTAGCGAGTGTAACAATATGCTCTATCCAAAGGAGGATAAGAGGAACAAGTTGTTAAACTACGCCTGTCGGAATTGTGATTACACACAGGAAGCGGACAATCCTTGTGTTTATATTAACAAGCTTGAGCAGGAAGTGGAGTGAGTGATCTAATTATTGATGATAATCTTTTACTCACTGGAGATTTTTTTGGGTGTCATCTGCTCTCAATTTGCCAACCTATGGGCCACGTTTAATTCATCTTTCAACATTGATTGCAAATATTACTCTGATCCCTACGGGCGGTGGTGCTGCAGTCTTGGCTGGAAGTTGGCAAACATTGGTGCATTGCGTAGTTCATCATATTTCTCCGATTTCATCCAAAATTTTGTATGACCTTCCGCGAGTTCTACGTCCATAACCCACTGTGGCGGTCTATTTGTAGTTGCCGTTTGTAGGACTAGTTAATACTAGTCCGAGAGGGTGCGCGAAAGTAAGCGGGGATATCAGAAGGCAATGGGATTCGGACACATCATCATCATTACACGTTAGCTGGAGGTGGAAAACACCTCAGCTATTGTGCCGCAATACAAGAGAAAAGAAAAGGAAAACAGTGGCACGCCTGCTGAGTCCCCAGTAACGGATGGACATCGTTCCGGAGAGCTAACAGCTGGCTGCCGTAAAAGAGAATCGTATTACGCCTAACAGGTGAGATCGTGATTGGAGGGGGATACTAAACAGGAGGGGGATGGACAAAGCAAATCACAACACAAACGTCATTGGTGCCGGCTCCTAGCCATATCAGCAAGTGTGTCCAACCAAACGTGTTCACCGTCCTTAGGACCCCAGCCAGGCAGTCGGGATGCACCAACCGACGCCAACTTCGAAGTGAGCGTTTTCATTTCTCTCGACCAAGTCATCACTTGGCCTACCCTCCTCTTTCAACCGCACCCCCGGCGCGCAAACAATGCACGTCGCGGGAGTCGGTGTGCTGGCATGCGCAACACGTGGCCCAGCCATCGGAGCCTAGTGCGTGATATAATGGTGCTGAGCGGTTCACTCGCTCTTCCTGCACCAAATACGCGACGTCGAACACGCTCATTGCTCACGCGGTGTTCCCACCAGACATGAGCTAAGCTGCGAAGGCAGCGATGATCGAATGTGACGAGCCTCTTCATGTCTGTCGACCTGATGGGCCAGGTTTCACAACCATATAGGAGAGTTGAACGGACGGCTGCGTTGTAAACTCTGCCCTTCAGGGCGAGAGTAATGTCGCGTCTGCGCCACAGATGGCGGAGATTGGCAAAAGCACCTCGAGCTTTTGCTATGCGGTTCGTAACCTCATCTTCAATCCCACGGGTGCTAATATAGCTGCCCAGGTACTTGAATTCCTGAACGACTTCTAGCAGATCACCACAAAGCGTTAGCGCAGGGTTGGGTCCCTGCCAATCTTGGAGAAGTACTTTGCATTTCGATGGAGCAAAGCATAGCCCAAAACGATTGACAGCCAATGCTAATCGGTCCAGTGCTCTTTGGCATGTTTGGGGGCTGTCACAGATTAGGGCAATATCGTCCGCATACTCCAGATCAAGAAGTCGCTCACCAGGAAGTAGCTCCACACCTTCTAGGTCGTGTCCAGCGAACGCTGTTTCCATGACTTCATCGGTAGCGAAGTTGAAGAGGAAAGGTGACAGCGAGCATCCTTGTCTCACACCGCTGGTGATACTAAAGGGTGGCGAGAGTTTGCCATAAACCCTCATCCTGCCCGAACTATGCGCGTACAGCGCTTTGATAATGTTTACATATTTATCAGGCACACCTTTCCTCAACAGACAGTCCCAAATGGCAAATCGATCGACTGAGTCGAAGGCACCTTTTATGTCAAGAAACACGACAATCATGGGTCGCCAATAAATATGGCGGTGCTCCAACACTTGACGCAATGTGAAGATGTGGTCGATGCAGCCCCGACCTCGACGAAATTCGGCTTGCTCTTCACGAATCTGGCTTTCACGAGTGCCAGTCAGTCTGTGGAGAATGACAGAGGCAAGCAATTTAGAGGCAATCGAAATCAGACTGATCCCTCTATGATTGCCACATTCCAAACGGGAGCTTCCCTTGAAAATTGGGACAATGACAGAGCGGTTCCAGTCTGTCGGGACTGTCTCCTGCTCCCAAAGTTTTACTAGCAGCTCGTGTAGATCATCTACTAGAGCAGGTCCCCCGAATTTGAAGAGGGCTGGGGGAATTCTATCTGCTCCTGAGGCCTTATGCAATTTCAACAGCCGGATCTCACGTTCAATCTCTGCGCATGAGGGCGGATCCAAGCAGACGGCCCAAGGAGAAGGGCGCTCAATGCCCGAAGAAGAAAGCGATAACTCAAGTTTGTTAAATTGCCTTGCAAAGTGTTCGGCCCAACGCTCCAAGCGTTTTGACAAGCTGTGGATCGGCTGCCCACTCTTGTCGCGTATGGTCTCGCTAACACCAGGTCTCCTGCTGCCTGTTTCCCGTATCAGACGGAATAACTTACGATGATTACCCACGGCAGCGGCTGTTTCCATCTCAGAGGCACGATGAGACCACCAGGTTTCGCGGTCCTTCCTAAGGCTAGCACGTAGTTTTGCCTTGAGATTTTTGCGAGCCTCATTGTGTTCGCTTCCAGCCGGAATACGTCGGCGAGCATCCATAAGTTCCATAGACTGTGTAGAGACCCAATGTCCGGTTTGGCAATTTGCTTTGCCACATGAAGACATGCCTGCTAGCAGTAACGTTTGACGAATATGCGACCAGTGATCTTCAACGGTGTTTAGTGGGCGCTTACTCAGCCCAGATGTCAGCGCACTATGGTATACATTCAGAACATCTGGCTTCGCCAGTTGGCTGGTGTCAATCCGTTCACATCGACGTTGCGGACGTCCACCGAAACGCACCAGGAGGTCGCACAGACAAGTGCGTGGTCAGAGTCCACGCTCGTGCTCCAAATCGAGCGACAATTTTGGACACAGCCTCTCCAGCGGTAACTGATCGCGATATGATCGATTTGCGTCCATGGTTGGCCCGAGGCTGGTGGCCGCCAAGTCAAGCTTCTGCGGGTGCTGTGTCGGAAGTTAGTGCTCGCGAGAAAGAGGCGAGCATCTTCACACAGCTGTAGCAATCGCTCACCATTATCATTACGGGAGCCTACACCATGTTGGCCGCTCAGATGAAGCTCATCAGAGGACAATTTTCCGACTTGGGCGTTTAGATCGCCAGCCAACACCACAGTATCCGTGCTTCTTCTGTAACGAAGGAGCTCGTGAAGTTGCTGATAGAAATCATCTTTTACCGAATCAGTGCTACAGTTTGTAGGGGTGTAAGCCGCAATGACAAACAGGCAACGTTTGTCCCCGCGCGACTTCGTAGCACGGAACGAACCAGCTAATCTAACGGCGCACATCCTACTGTTTACTGGGATCCAATCAATCAGGGCAGCTTCAGCCCGGGGACTCAAAACAATGCCGACGCCAGCTTGACCGGCATTTGAAGCTGCATCATCGCCAGACAGGCGCAATGAGAATGTGCCGCCAGTGTCGCATGTGGGGGATCTCAGGGTAAGCACGGTGCTCGAACCTTGCAGGCGGGTTTCTGATAAACAGCAAATATCGATCGATAGGGTCTCTAGTGTGCGGGCAAGTGCTGCCTGCTGGCCAATCTGCAGCAAAGTACGCACGTTGAGGCATGCCAGTCTTAGCGAGACGCGAGGACTCCAAAGGGAAACGGGTGAACTGACGTTGTCCGCTTGGTTGAACATGGACTTGTCAACTGGATTGGAGCGAGGCCCTGGGATTGTGTGTGATTTGAAATTAGAAGACAAGCGACTACTGAAGTAAGCTGGGGGAGGGCCAAGAATTGGGGGATTGAAAATGGGGGGATATAAGTAAAGTTGGAGCGGGACGATAAGGATGAAGAAGCGCAAGAAGGGGTATAGGAAGACGGGAAGGCCTGAGCAGTAGCATCCATACCCCTATCCACCCTGCTCGAGGCAGCAGATAGGACGCCGTTGATTATCCTCTGCGACGGCCAGAGCATCAAGAAATTGTTGTAGGAAAGTTTCATTGTATTGCGTGGGCAGAATACTGTCAGGTTGCCCAGGCCTAGACAGGAGAACGATTAGGGTTCTCAACCAAAGCCTTTGGTTCAGAAACCTTACCGCAAGGCAGCGGGTTTTGGCACTGGACTACGGAGCCCGTTTTATGAAATGAGGAGCCACCCCCATTCCAACCCCCAACCTGGAGGACCAGGAGGCTGAGTTTGTCTGGCCTCTAACCATTGACCAATCTGGTATTAGTGGCTCTGAAGGTGCAAAAAAAGCACCACCCGGCATAGCTCAATGGATCTCTGAGGCACGCAAACCATCGCACCACGGTAAGGTCCAGCCTCATTGCGATGGGCTACAATAAGAAGCGGACGGATGAAGCGAGGCGAGAGCGTACACATGAGCGCGAAAACTTACAAGGCAGTTGTGTGTCGAGCCGGTTGTAAGATTAAAACAAGAAGCAGTAATGTACAATCGGTCAACAATTAAATTGTACATGAGAGATAGCAGTTATCTTTTGGGGCGCTACAGAGCTCTCCCCCTAGAAGGCTGAACATAGAAAGCCTTCGAAATCGAAAAGGACTGTTGAAACGAGGTTCATAAGGCAAAATCGTGCCGAGTAAAAATGAGCGTGCGTTCGTGTAAATGGGGTTCGTCGGAAGTCGGAGTCCGCTGTGCCGTTTATGATTTGTTATTTATTGATTGCAGGGCAGGGTGCATTTCGGCGAGCCGTTGGAGCGGGCTTGTCGGACTACAAAAAACTGGCTAGCCCAGAAAAAGGCCGACAGGACCTCAACCTCCGCTGCTGCCAAACGGTGCGCTTGGGAGTTGTCTCTTCCCCCGCCGCACCCCGCCCCGCGCCAAAACGACCCTCGTCCCACGAAGAAACGACCATGGTCCCACGGAGAAACGGCCAGTGTTCGCGTCAGGATCCTCGAAAACACTCCTCGTGTGGGCCAGTCGATCGAAGCGGAGGGTTGGGGCATGTGAAGAAAAGAAAATAGATAAACACGCGCAGAAAACGCCAAAAAGAACAAACGAATGATCTGCATGTTTAAATAATTTTTGGTTTTTGAATATTTTTTC